ACTCTCTAACCGCTGAGCCAAACCGGCCAGGGCCAACTTAGCCATTGTTAACTGTACAGTTCAGTGGCAGTAAATACATTCACGTTGTTGAGCAACCATCACCACCATCCATCACTAGAACTTTTTCATCTTGCAAAATTGAAAGCCTGTCCCCATTAGACAGTACCTTCCCACCCCTCCCCCAGCCCCTGGCAGCCACCATTCTGTCTCTGTGATGTTGACTGCTCTAGGCACCTCGTGTAAGTGGAATCATACAGTATTTGTCCTTTTGTGACCGGCTCGTTTCACTTAGCATAATGACCTCAAGGTTTATCCACGTTGTAGTATGTGTCAGAAATTTCTTCCTTTTTAAAAAATTAATTACTTAATTTATTTTTTAATCCTCAACCGAGAATATTTTTCCATTTATTTTTAGATAGAGTGGGAGGGAGAGAGAAACAGAGACAGAGACAGAGAGAAACACTGATTCGAGAGAGACACATCAGTTGGCCACCTCCCACACAACCCTAACCAGGGCCGGGACCAAACAGCAACCGAGGTACGTGCCCTTGACTGGAATCCAGCCTGCGGCTCTTTGGTCCGCAGGCCGACGCTCTAACCGCTGAGTCAAACAAGCCAGGGCAAAACTTCTTCCTTTTTAAAGCTGAACAATATTCCGTTAAATGGATGGACCACTTTGTTTATCCATTCATCCATGGATGGAGCTTGGGTGGCTTCCACCTTGTGGCTACTGTAAATAACGCTGCTATGAACGCTGGTGTATCTGTTTGCATTTTTAAAAACTTCATGGACACAGTAATGATTTTCAATGTCACTAAGAAATGTAAGGCCATCTTTTTTGTTTCTTTGGCTCTAGTTAGAGGGACCAACTGCTTCAGCAAATAGACCCCAAAATGTATTACGGCTTAATCATGGGAGATGTTTCTTTTTCTTGTAACAGTAGTGGATGGGTAAACAGGTCAGAGTGTGTGCAGGGGGTCCTCCCACGTGCTGAGAACCCAGGTTGACACAGCTTCCCAAATCATCCTTGAATCAATAGGACCAGGGGAAAGAAGTTGGAGGGGTGTCTGAGAGAGGTGTTCTGGGCCAGGCCTGGAAGTGCCCCACCCCATTCTAATCACACTGCATTGATTAGAACTCAGTCACATGACCACCCAACTACAAGGGAGGCTGGGAAATGTAGTCTAGTGTGCCACCTGGAAGAGGAGTTTGGGTAGTGTGGGCTACTGAGCAGCTGCAGGCACCTACTCAACCCCATTTCCCTGATGATTTTTATCCTTTGAAGTTCAGCTGGATCTGGGCTCCTCCAGAAAGCACCCCTTGACTTCCCAACCCCTCGATGCAATGCACTGACCAAGCCCTCCTGCGTGGGCAGCGTTGGGCCATGAGCCTCATGAGGACAGGGCTAGCCCAGGATAGGCACTTGGCCACCCTGGGACTTGCAGAAGGAACCAGCTCCTGCTGTGTCGCATTGGTCTCTCTCCTCGGTGTCAGCGCTACCCGGGGTTCAGCCAAAAGGAGGCCCTAGAGGGAGGCTAGAAACGGGAGGAGAAGAGGTCCTTCCCCCATTTCAGGCCTGTGGGGGAGTCTGTGGCGGAGCTGTTGCTTCCATGCCTCCTGCTAGGTCCCCATGGACCTGTGTGGTCCCTGCTGTGAGACCTGAGCCTGGCTGGGTAGCACCCTCCTCCTCTGTCCCTCAGCCTAAGGGTGCTGCTGGGGCACTATGACTGACTCACCCGCTCCCTTTGACTTCCCAGCTCTCCAGCATCTGGAAGTCCCTGGATCACCATCCCCCAAACCCTGACTGGTACAAGGGGGAGGGGACTGGCCGTTTATTTTTTCTTCTTTTTTTTTTTTTTATCCTCACCCGAGGACATTTTTCCATTTTTTGTTCAGATAGAGCGGGAGGGAGAGAGAGAGAGAGAGAAACATCGATGTGAAGGGACACATCGAGTGGCTGCCACCCGCACGACCAACCAGGGCCGGGGACAAACTGCAACCGAGGCACGTGCCCTTAGCGGGAACCGAACCCGGGTCTCTTAGGACCGCAGGCCGACGCTCTAACCGCTGAGCCAAACCGGCCAGGGCAAGGGACTGGCTGTTTAAAAAAAAACATTTATTGATTGATTTTTAGAGACAGAGAAAATTGATTTGTTGTTCCATTTATTTATACATTCATTGGTTGATCTTTGTATGTGCCCTGACTGGGGATCGAACTTGCAACCTTGGTGCATTGGGATGAAGCTCTAACCAACTGAGCTACCCAGCCAGGGCATGGCCATTGGAGTTTTTATTTATTGATTTATTTTTATTTATTCTTTATTGATTTGAGAGAGAGAGGAAGGGAGAGGGAGAGAGAGAGATAGAAACATCAATGAGAGAGACATCGATTGGCTGCCTCCTGCATGCCCCTCACTGGGGATCAGGCCCACAACCTGGGCATGTGCCCTGACCGGGAATCAAACTGGCAACCTCTTGGTGCATGGTCGATGATCAAACACTGAGCCACCCTGGCCGGGCGCCATTGGGTTTTGATGTCATAATTCCCAGGGGTTGCACTGGGGAGGCCACCTCTGTAGGGATGAGGTCCCTGCCTTTGGTGTCTCTAAGGAGTCCATGCCTCGCTCTGGGACCTTCCACCCTCACATAGGACCAAACAGAACCCCTGACTTCCTAGGGGCCCCTGGGAAAACCCTGCCAGGTGTTGGGGCTTCCCAGCCTGGCCTGCCCCTGGCATGAAAAATGCCTGATGTCTGAGGCCCAGACAGTGCACCCCTTCCCCCGGGCAAGGGCAGCTGGAGGCCTGTCCAGAAGGAACAACGGGGGTGGGCAGGCGAGGCTGAGGAAGGTCATGCTTTACTCTTAGGAGGACGCCTACATGCCAGGCCTGGTGGAGGAACCTTGGCTGCCAGCCCCTTCCCATTGTTCCTCAGACCCTGCTCTCCTGAGCCTTCGCACCGGGAACGCCCGCTCTGACCAGTCACATGAGAACTCCGCTGGTCCTTCGAGGCTTGTTGTAGGAGCGGTGGACCCACCTCGAACCTCCCAGGCTCTTGCGTCGGCTCCCACATGTCCAGACTGCTATGACTGCGAACTGACCTTGCTCGCTCACGGACAAGTGCCCAGCTGGGACTGGCTCGGCACAGGGACGCACTGGAGACAGGTCGGCGGAGGCCAGCCCTGCCTTACCTCATCTGGAGAGAGGAAAGTACCTGCCCGGCAGCCAAGGCCTGTCCCTCAGCCCCACCCTGCCCGGAGCTGGAAGCCAGAGCGGTGGGGAAGAAGGGGTCTGGGGTCTGGAAGGACAGGAAGCATCAACCTTAGTCCCCTCCTTTAGTCTTCTGGGCACCATCCCTGGGGGTCCCCCAAATCTCTCGGTCTTAGCTCTGTTTCTTCAAATGTGCCCATTGTGCTTACTTGCCTACTTCCAGAACCCCTGCCACACCACGCCTCACCTCTGCCCAGGACCCCCCACAAAAGGTGAGGCTGAGGCGGTGGGGAGATCTGGGCTCCGCCCCGGCAAGCCAGTGCCAGCTGGATGACCTGTGCAACCTCTCCGGGACTTGTGAGTTCCTGAGACAGGGGATGACTCAAAACCCTCCCAGTGGAGATGCAGAAGTGGGCCTGCATGTACCTTGGCTGAGGTTGTGACGAGCTTGCGGGCCCAGCTGCAGGGATGGGGCTGACTGCTCTTTTGGTGGCTTGGTTTGTGGTGCAGCCTTTTTTGTTTTTCTTTCACCTTTGCTAGCTGTTCTTACCCTCTGCTTCCCTCATGTGGTCACTCTTGGTGCTGCAGGCCGTAGTGAAGAAGGCCTCTACTCATCACCTCTCCCCACCCTGCTGTTCTGTTTTTTGTTTTTAAATCCTCACCCAAGGATGCTTTTCCCCCCCCATTTTTATCTTCAGAGAGTTGGGGGGTGGGGAAGAGAGAGAAACATCGACATGAGACACATCGATTGGCTGCCTCCCACATGACCGGGCCAGGGCCGAGGACCAAACTGCAAACGAGGCATGTGCCCTTGACCAGGAATCAGACCAACGACTCTGGTCCGCGAGCCGACGCTCTGCCGCTGAGCCAAACCAGTCAGGGTGGGCTGTTTGTTTTTGAAATGTTTTTATTGATTTTTTTAGAGAGAAGGAGAGATAGAAACATCCATCGGCTGCCTCCTGCACAAGCCCCCACCGGGGATCGAGCCCGAAACCCAGGCGTGTACCCTGGCCGGGAATTGAGCTGTGACCTCAGTCTATGGGATGATACTCAAACCACTGAGCCACACCGGCCCAGCCAGGGCTTATCCTGTAGGCACTGTACCCTCCTTGCCCATGCCCCTCTCAGACTGATCTGCCTGCCTCACCCAGGGGGCACCGACCTCTAATCCCACCACCCTCGGTACTTCCTGGGACACGTACAGTGCAGACCTTGCCGTCTAGGCCCTCCCATGACTCCACTCAACTCCCTCGTTACAAAAGGGGACTCTGGACTCTGCTTGTCCTCAGGCCAGCTCTGAGCCGTTTCTGTGCCAGCCGCCTGGCCCTGGAAGGGCAGGGACTCCGGTGGGCAGCAGTGTCATGAGGCCTGTGCTCCCTCCATGCTTAGCTTCTGGACACTCCTGGGCGGAGCGCCCGGGGGCCCAGAACATGTACTCTCGTCGGACGACTCGGGCACGCCACTGGCTTCAAGGCCTGCTGGGGCAGGGTTGGTGACCCAGGGCCGGGCTGGGCCAGCTTTCTGCAGGGTGAAGGGTCAGGTGCTGGTATGGGGAAGGACAGGTTGGCTTCGTCTCATCTCCTGGGCATCCAGTGTGGCATCCCAAACGCCATGTCCTCCCTCCCTCCCTCCCTACCCACGTGTGGTCACTGTTCTCAATCCCACTTTTCTGAAGGAGAGACAGACGCTAAGGAGGGATCTGTCCCAGGCAACCTGGCAGTGAAGGACCCAGACCCAGGTTGCTCAGGACCCCAGAAAGCAACTGTGGAACTCTCTAGAACCAAGGCACAGCATGAGCACCAGGACACCAGGGAGGGGCACCACAGGCTTGTTTTCTTCTTGTACAGGCAGGGCGGGGTGTCTCAAGTGACATTCCAGAAGAGTTAAGAGTTACATGCCTGGAGCTCAGAGGACGCCCCTTTGCTTGGAGGTCCTGTGGCCTCTCATGCCCTGGACTGGGCCCACCTGCAGCCTTGGCTGTTGGCTGGGCACAGGGTCTGGGAACCAAGGCAGCTGAGCTCTGGGGCTTGTGTTAGGGCACCAAGTCTCAGGATATCAGGGTTCAGGGGCACAGGCATCAGACACTGGACCTGAGGTACGGACAGCTGAGTATCAGATGCTAGAGTACGGGGGCTGGGAGACAGGTGTCAGCCGTCAGAGGCATGGTGTCTTGAGCCTGGGGAACTATAGCTGTGAGTACTCGGGAAAGGGGCTCAGGAACAGTTAGAGGTCAGGGTCTGGGTCTGAGGTGACAGCAGGGCACAGGGCCTTGGGTCCACAGGCATTGAAGGCTCAGTTATCAGGTGTCTGGGTCCAGGTGCCAGGTATTTGGGGACTGAGGTACTGGGGTGCATGCTCTTGGGAGCTCGGGGCTTTCTCCTGGGAGGCTGGTCTTTGGCCCCGGGGTGGCCTGGTGCACTAAGTCGCCAGCCACGACTGCCCCTCTCAGGGCTGCGAAGTCCAGATGGCCCTGCAACAGAGATGAGGTCTAGAGTAGGCACCGTGGTCCCAGCGCCCAGGGGCCCAGGGGCCCAGGGTGTCAGGGAGCCGAGGGGCAGGGCCCTGGGGGTGGGGTCTCACGTGTTGCTTTTCCTGCGTCGCAGCAGCACGTAGACCAGCACGACCAGAGCTACCACTGCCAGGCCTCCAAAGATGATGCTCAGCAGCACAGTGTGGCTCCGTCCTGGAGACAGGGTGGGCGGTGAGGGAGGCCCAGGTGAGGGTAGAGTGTGGGGGGCACGAAGACTGGAGCGAGGCGTGGGGGAGGGGCAAACGTGTGGGTGGGCCAGGCTAGGCTGGGCAGCAGGGCGCCCAGGACAAGCGGACCAGGCATCCTCACCTGGCTGGCACGTCGGGGTAGGCCTGGACCAGGTGCCATCAGCCTGGCAGAGGCTGACCTCCGCCCCATCCAGGCTGTAGCCATTGTTGCAGTGGAAGTAGACAGTAGAGCCCGCTAGGTACTTGATGCCATCCTTCTGCCCATTGGTGGGTGGGGCCAGCCAGCCACAGGACACCTCTGGGGTAGGGACAGGATGCAGATGACAACCCTGAGCCACTGGCTGCTTCCCACAGCCACCCGCCAGAGGGCCCTGTCCCAGTGCAAGGGGCCTGCCCCCTCACCCGTGCCCTCTGCCACCCTCACCAGGCTTCAGATTCTGCACACGACGTTGGTGCAGCTGGTAGGCCTCCCGTGTGGCATTGGCCACGCTCAGGCTCCCGGTGGCTAACACATCGAAGCTGCAGAAATGGTTGTCTCCACACAATTTGGCTGCCTCGGTAGCCTGACTCGGGCTGGGAGTGGTCTCCTCAGGGAAGAGGGGCTGGAAGGTGGGGTCATGCTTGGGCCGGTAGAGGAAGTTGTTGACCAGGAACGGAGAGTCATAGGTGAGCAGGGAGGAGGCATTCTCCACGGCCCCTGGGGAGACACGCAGCAGGTGTGGTCGGGGGGGGAGGGTCTGGGGCCTCCTCCTCACTGCACTGGTCCCACCCTTGCCATGTCCCTTCCTCCAGTGTGGGCCTCATGGTCACTCACAGTCAGCCCCAAACCGGAACAGCTCTCGGGAACTTGCGGTGGGGGGCAGGACCTGCCCATTACGCAGGGTGAAGTCATCTGCGAGGTTGTCATTGAGTGTCCCAAGGAGGCCTTGAGTGTGGGTAAGAAACTTCTCGGGCAGCAGGATGGCCACATTCAGGAAGGGACCCTGGACGCTGACCTCCAGGCCTGCCCCCGATGATAGCATAATCGATACGCTGTCCCCAGCAGCCACTGACAGGAACATGCCTGGGCACAGGCAGAGTTGGGGTCAGCATCGCCTCCTGTGGGCACTGTGTGGTGACCCCACAGCCCCAGGATGGGGAAGGGCAGGGCACCCCCAGGACCAACCCTGCTGACTGATACTCCACCCCTGCAGGCACACACCCTGCTCGGACCCCCACGCTGATCTGAGGTACCCGGGCCCTAAAGACAGCTCCCCCCATCCTGAGGCATGAATGGGGGTTGCCTCTTGGCCCTTGATCCCTGACTGGCAGGCAGCAGCCTCTGCCCTTTCCGGGGTCCCTGCATTCTCAGTGCCAACAGGCCCATCCCAGGCCCCCACCCATCCCAAAAGGGAGTCATTTCATTCATTCGGTTCCGAGGCAGCAGCACCGCGGAGGGAAGGGGTGGACAGGGAGTTGCTGCTCCGAACTCTCAGGCCAGCTGCCTTGAAGCACTGCAGTCCCAATTCCTCCGGTTCCACTGAGGACCCATCCCAGGGCTCTGACCAGGGCGTGTCTCAGGGCTCCATGGGCGTGAAGGCTGGAGGTCAGACCAGGTTCTCCAGGCTGGACTTTGCAATATGGGGCTTAGACCCATGTCTGCCCACAGACAGCCATGGGCACATCCACTGTGCTGGCCTTCTGCAGCGGGGTGCAGCAGAGAGGGGCCGACTTGCTCGGCAGCAAGCCCCGAGAGACCCCATCTCCACGCCTGTGCCCTGGGCACCATCCCTGTCTCCAGCCAGGGCCTGTGAGAGGTGTGGGGCCCAGGTGGAAGGGAAAGGGAGTGAAGGCAGTTCACTGACCTTGTCCGGCCCTTCCACTCACCCTTCAGATCCAGCCAGGTCTGCTCTGCAAAGCTGAGCTCCTCCTTGTTCAGGAGCACCTGCAGGATCCCCGTCCCGCTGGCTAGCCGGACCTCTACCACGTCAGAGTTGTCCTCCTGGACGGCTACAGCTGTCAGCCCAGTGCCTTGGTCCTGCGTGCCTGGGATGGGGGTACAGAATAGGGTCCACTCAGCTCCAGCCTCCCACCCGGGTGACCCTGAGCCACCCCAAGCCCCCAGACCCCGGCCTCACCCTCGGGTGTTGTCCTGGGCAGGGCCCGAGCCTGCACCCTCAGGTTGGTCAGCGCCGACTCCAGCAGCACGTACTCGCCGCGCCCGTTGAATGTAAAATTGGCCCCATCAAAGGTGACAAAGTGCGGGTCCCCGAAAGCAGAGGCTGGGGAGAGCAGAGGGTCAGGTGGGCTGCCCTGGCCTGGCCCTGCCCAGGGCCCCGCTCTGGCCAGCACCCACCCAGGCGAGGGGGCCGGTAGCTGCGGCAGTCGCTGGAGGGTCGCCGGCTCATGTAGCGGGAGCACTCAGGTGCCCAGAGGCAGCAGTGGTAGAAGCTGATGACATCGTAGAGCCAATGGGAGAGGCCAGGCACACGGGGCGGTGCGCGGAATGGGGGTGCACCCCAGTCGTGGCCACGATCGGGGGTGCTGCCGCTGGTGGAGTCGGCTGTCAGAAGCTGTGTGCCTTCTGCTGTGTAGCAGCACTGCTGGCCTGAGCCGTACTGGGGGCTGGGGGCATGGACAGGTCAGGCCCCGCCTTGGGATCCTGCCTAGGCCCCGCCCACACCCCCGCACCCTCTGCGGCTTCACCTGGCTTGCACAGAGCGCACGCAGTGCACGGCCCCTGGGTGGTAGGTGCACACGCTGCCATGCTCGATGTCACAGCCGTAGTCCGTCTGTAGAGCAGCAGGTTGCTGTCACCTGTGCCAGTGTCAGCCTCTGCCATTCCCATCATTCCCCACGAGGGCCCTCAGGGGCCCCACCTCCCAGGGGCCTCTATCTGCCTCCCCTTGTGCTGTTCTGGGCGGGCTCAGCTGTGTCCGAGGTGGGAGCCGAGGGCCCCACTTGCACCCTCGCGTGTTCCTGGGCCCTGGCCCGGGACTCACATGGAAGCGGCCAGAGTCAGCCCGGGCCTGGGCCAAGGTGCAGGGGCAGTCAGGCAGCTCCTTCAGGAAGTTGGGCAGTTGGTCCTCCAGCTCCGCCCAGGCCAGGCACCGAGCGCGGGCCCAGGCCACAGGGTCCGCCCGGAAGTCATCGCCCAGGTGCCAGGCCAGCGCGTGCTCATTGCTCCAGAGCGCACGCACATCCCTGCGGAGACGCGTGCAGTCAGGGCTGCCTTCCGCCTCTGCCCCGGCTGCCTGGCAGAGGTGGTGGGCAGGCAGCAGGCGGCTGGGCCCCTGCCCTCCCTCGGCACGGTCCTTACTTCTCCCCTGCATAGTGCTTGCTGCTGATGATTCTAAGCGCACCCACTTCCCATCTCTGGTAGTTCGGAGGCGCGGGCTTTGGAATGAAGGTGAAGAAGCCAGAGTTGGGGATGTTTGTGGCCAGGGAGTACAGGTATGACCACTTGGCCATCCATTCCCCTGAGTATGGCTTTCCTGAGGGAGAGAAGGCCCCGGTCAGCCCTGCATTCTGTCCGAAGACCTCCGGGGCAGAGGAGGGGTAGGCACCAGTCCTTGGTGCTCAGGGCAGCCTGCTAGATGCACAGAATGTGGACAGATGATCCCCATAAGAGTAACTTCCCTGCTGCTCCTATAAGGACCCTGATTCAAGTGACCACCCCCTCCTCCCCTTACACTCCAGAGTCACTGTCCTTGTTCGAGGCCAGGCCCAGGGCCATGCCAGCCACCCAGGGACTCAGAGAGGAGGGGAAGCAGCCTTTTCTGTTTCCAGGACAGCCTGCACCCAGGGCCCAAACTTCCTCCATCCCTCTCTGCACTGTTTTCCTCCAGCCCTCACGCCCCTGCCAATGCCTCTCCTTGTCTGCCCTTTCCCCACCCCCACCCCCAGGGGATTCCCACTGCCTGGGGTCCCCTTTCTCTCATCTCTTCAAGCCCACAGCTCTGGCCCCACCAGCTTTGCAGAGGCAGCCTGCAGAGCCTCACCTGTCTCCTCATAGCCCCACAGCTCGATGGTGACAGAGCTTGTGGGCAGAGCCGAGGCGTTCCAGGTAACGGAGAGGTTACCCCCGGTGCCGGTGGTGCCATAGTACTGCCAGCGGGTCTCGTTCACCAGCTGGCTCTTCTCCGTATCTGACACTTTGCTGGGGTGCACTGGGCCAGGGAGGTAAGGTGAGGAAAGGCTGGGGCCCAGGGGGTCCGGGGGAGGAGGCCTGGGGATCTGAGAGCTGTGCTGGCCTCCCGAGGACACAGTATGGCAGTCCCATTAGAGCCATGGGTACCCCAGACCCTCATGGTGGGAAAGGACAGAGGCTGGGAGAGCGGAGCCCTGTCCCCCACTGTCCAGGCCTCTGGCTTCCACCTGGCCTGGCCCATCTTGCTGGGATACCCATTCCCTCTGGGCTAAGATACCTGTCTGGATGCCATGGGGTGGGGAAAGGAAATGTGGGAACCCAAACCCCTGTGGTCGGGCGGGCCACTCAAGGGACTGGTTCAGCCAGAGCGGCAGGACCTGGTGGGCGGGCCAGGTGTGCATAGATTAGCACTAGGGGAAGTCCCCATGGAGGTGCCAGGGCCTAGGGAGGGTGGAGTTTGGTGCCCAAGGTGTGGACTAGCAAGTTGAGGCTCACCGGCCAGCCAGGTGCCTGATCTGGGGAAGGACTGGCCATTGTCCATGGAGAGCGTGAAGGGGATGCGGCCAGTCTCGTAGAGCAAGGGTGACACACAGTGCACACGGCCAGAGGCATCCACGTGGCCGAGGGTCTGGACGCTCTCCTTAAACCTGTGCAGGGCAGAGGTAGCAGGAGAAGCTGGGCCAGGGTGGGCTGATCCTCTCCAAGGTCTGGGCCCCTGACCTTGGTTCTCAGGGCTCCACCCCGCGAGCTGAGGTGTCTGGGCCCCACACGCACAGCCCCACGTGCTCCCACCTGCAGATCACGTTGGCGGTGGGGCTGGCCCACTGGAGGTGCTGCACCACGAAATCCTTGCCACCCATCATGGAGCCCGAGTAGGGTTTGATCTCCAGGCAGAAGTCCCGCAAGTCTGAGCAGCAGTTGCCCAGCCCGAAGCAACTCGGGTGGCAAGAGCACAGCCCGCCCAGGTCCCCGCAGCGTTGGGAGCAGCTGTCCTGGGCACCTGGAGAAGAGGGCCCTGAGCGCCTGTCCCCAGCGGGCACTGGGCCGGCTGCCCCATGCGAGGGGCCCGTGTCTACATCCCAGAGCCCGTTAGAGAGAAGCGTACACAGCAGAATCCGCCCTGGGATGGCACTGACCACCACGTGGACACAATGGAAGCCCACGGGCCTGTGGGCTGGGGTAATTCTCAGTGCAGATCACCTAGCAGCTCACCCGAGTGACTGGCTAGAATGAAGGGAGAAAAGGGGAGGTGTCTCCAGATACAGAACGTTGTTGTGTCAGAAGGAGCCCCCAGGGCACGACGGACCCTCAGCCACCAGGTCCATGGCTGATGGCGTCCTCAGATGGCCACAGGGGAGGGACAGGCCAGGGACCTGTGTCCACTACGTGGCGGAGGCACTGAGGCTGGGGTCAATCAAGAGCCAGTCAAGGGCCTGAGCTGCCCCGGTGGCCCCGCTTCACCCAGTGCAGGGCCTGGCACTCAAGAGCATCAATAAATATTTATTGGCTGAGGATGTGACGCCTCAAGGAGGTGGGGCTGTGGGATGCCAGCAAGTTAAATGGCAGGAGGGTGGTGGCACTTCTCTGCTGAGGAGATAGAGACGGTAGGGACTGCGAGGCCTATGACCTCCAGCCTTGGGGGGCGGGGGAGCAGGGGCAAGGTCTTGGCTCTGAAGTGTGGTTCTTCTGCTATTCTTTCTGAGGTTTGGCTCCACCCTGATAAGGACCAATATCCTGCCTCTAGCCAGGAAGGGGGCCAGTGGGACTGGGATGGGGGGGGCTCTTCCATGGGCAACCACACCCTCCATCAGAACTGGGGGTACAGGCCGAGGGCTCTTCTGAGCCTGCCACCCACCTAGCCACTTCCCTCTCAGGCACCCAATTCCTCTCAACTCACATCAGGTTTAGGGTGGGCACCGCCCAGATCCACCTCCCAGCCCTGCTGGGTGGCCCCTTGATCCTGGCACCCCAGTTTCTTCCTACTGCCCCCAGTAGAGCCACAGCTGGCCCGACAGATGGTCAGAGGCTAAGCCCAGAGGGGCATCTGCCCCAGGCCTGTCTGCAGCAGACAGCTGGACAGACAGAAGGATAGGAGGGCAGGGTGGGGACATACCTGCTGCAGGCCCGGGACCTGGGCCGGGGGCTGCCGCAAGCAGCAGCAAGGCCCAGGGCAGGAGCAGCTTCATTGTGTGGCCTGTGTCTGCAGCTGTCGGCGCAGCAGTGGCTGGGAGGCTGGGAGGCTGCAGGCGGGCCCACTTCCAGAGCCTGGCCCCGCCCTTTCTGAGTTTAGCACCAACGCCCCGCCCCGCCCCGCCCCTCACTGGTCCCCTCTCAAAGTCCACAGGTGCCCTTGTGAGCCAGCACGGCCCAACCCGCCCCGTTAGCACATTCCTTGTGAGCTGGCCTGGGACACAAGGGAGGGGGTCCTAGCCACAGCTGCCAGACACTAGAGGAGCCGGATGTCAGAGACGCTGCTCTGACCGCTGGATCCCAACGCTGGCCTGTGCAGGGTGGCCAGGGAGGGCTCCCCAAAGGGACTGAGCTTTGGGGTGGGTAAAGCAGGGCAATCTCAGGATCCCAGTGTCTGGGATCTTCTGCCAAAGATGTCCTATCTCTAGTCTTCAGTTTCCCTACAGGGAGGTGTGTGGGCACTGAAGGAGGATCCCCTGGGCGGTGAGGGTAGGTGGGTGGGAGCTGTCAGGTCAGATCCGGTTTCACTGTGGCCTGCTTTGGAGGGAGGTGGTGAATGGTGAGGGAAGGGCCCAGGGTGGGGAACTAGGACCAGAACCACGTTCTGGAGAAGCCGCCCTGCCCCACCTGCCCCACCTGCTCTGTGCTGCGTCACTCTTGGAGTTTCCATAATCTCTTCTGTGTTCCCCTCCCTTCTCAGTGTGCAGGGGAGGAAACTGAGGCCTAGACAACACGGGTGGGGCCAAGGTCACTGGGAGAGGCAGCACTAGAAAGCCCCCGGCAGCTTCTGCAAGCCTCCAAGGCCAGGGTGGGTGGGGAGTATCCAGTCCCGGAACTCACTTGGGCCCTATCACCTGGGCTGGGTGTCCCCCGAGGCATCTTCTCAAGGTATCCGAAAGGGATACATCTCTGGTCTCAGCAGGACTGAAACTAGCCAGGGGCACGAGCTTAGGCCATCGGGTGGGGACCTGCTTCAGCTTTTGGAGTCTGGCCAGCCTGTTCACTGGGCACCACCCTTCCCAAGTGGGAGAGGTGCCTGCAGTTGCTCCAGAGAGGTGGCACCTGCCAGCATCAGGGAAGCCAGCCTGGGGGGTTGGGAACACAACTCCCCACCTGGTTGCTGGGTGCTCAGGACACTTCTTGTAAACATGAGGCAGATTAGCAAGAAGCTAGGAAAATTCCTTGGCAAGTAGAATGCGGAAACCGAGTCAGACAGACCCCTGACCTTTCATATCACTGGCCATGCAGTCTAGATGCCTCTGACCTATCCTCCCTGGAGATAGCATGTAGGCTTCGGTTGTTATTTCAGCTCCAGGTGGGCGACACCAGGACCAGCTGCAGTGACTAGTGTTCTCCTGCCCTGGAGCTGACCAATCAGTGGAGACCATGACCCTAAAAGGCCACACCTGGAAAACTGATGCATGTCCCATTGAAATCCTCCTCTAAACTCCCACCTTTAACTCTCAAAACAAAGGACCCAGTGTGGGCCACCCCTGGGAGCCTGCCCTGTCCCCTTCGGAAAGGGGCGGGAGAGAATCATGAAAAAACAGAAGGCTAATCATAATGGGGTGTTCACCATAATTATAAGAAATGTTCAACATCCTTATTGTTAATGGTGGTTGCTTTGTTCTGATGGAGGAGAGTCCGTGCTGACCTGGCTGGGAGCTGCACACCCTGGGAGTTTACCTCGGGTCTGCTGTCCATTCTCTTTCCCTGAGAACTGGCCCCCTCATCGTGGAAAGACTAAGAACCTCGGAGCCTTGGAGGCGGTGCACTGGAGACAGCCCACAATCCCCAGCTCCCATGACTTCCCCGAGCCTGTAACTTGTAACTGTGTTAGCCGTGGATGTGCCCTTTGTCTGCTTCCCTATGTGATACCCACTAGAAGCTACTGGCTACGAGGGAGTGCAGAGCAGGTTTTTGCTGGACCACCCGGCTGCTCTCCCATACTGCAGGCGATGTTGGAATAAATGCTCAAATACAATTCAACCGTGTCTCTGCTTAATTGGCTCAAGTAGTGACAGGCAGCCCGGACCCATTTGCTGTCCAGTTTCGTTTCTTCTTCCCCCACAGGCACGGATCTCCTAAATTTTCAGGGTCCCCAGAGACTTGTGGCCGGGGGGGGGGGGGGGCAGCTCGTCCCTGGCTCACCCTTGAACCTGTGTCCAAGGTCCCTCCCCTTCTCTCACTTCCCAGGGAGCGCCAGCAGCCCTGCCTGGGTCTCTCCCGTTGCTGCTGCTCTCCTGGGCCCTTCCTGGGTCACTGTCCCCGGCTTTGATGAACGTACTCTCAGTCAACCGGACTCACGCTGTGAAATTTTTCCTGCACGAAGTCAAGAACCCACACGCTACCGGCTGGCCCGAGGCAGACCCGCTCGGGGCCAGGTCCATTTCCCCTAACAGGCAGTAGGTGTGGGTACTGAGGCCCTGACCAGGGAGCATCCCAGACACCCAGCCTGGGGGTTGGTGCTGTGACTGACTCATCACAGGCCCAAGGTCAAGTGTGCTTCCTGGGGAACAGGTGAGGGAAGGAAGGGGGCAGGACGGCTCCTGGGCAGCCCCAGGTGCCGTGCGGCCAGGCATGGCCCTGGGCAGTGGCTAGGTGCTCCCAGGGAGCGGGTCTGTGGTCCAGGAGAAAGAAAGGTTGCCATTCCCTCTTTCTAGCCTGGGCACTCGAGATGAGAGTTCTAGAACCTGGGAGTGCAGGTGGGGCTCCACACCCTGGGCCCTGTGGGTGGGGCGGGGGGTCAGCTGAGTAATTACTGGCCCCAGCCCCAGGCGGCCTTGCAAAGAGCCTGAAACACAACAGGTTCAGTCAGGGAGGATCCACCAAGGTGGCTGTGCTTCTGGGTCCCTGGGTCCCTCCACCCGGCCTGGGCTGGGGCCCCTGGCAGTGCCCAGTCTCTTGGGCCTTTATTCTTGGGCAGGGGGCACAAGGTGTCCAGCCCCCGAGGGGCATAGAGCATCAAGGAAGGTCCCTGTCTCCATGCTGGACAGAGCCTTTCAGGGGAGGCCTGGGGCCGCGGGGCAGAGCCAGCCCGGGGGTGAAGGCAGCTCGGCCCGCAGGGGAGGCCTGGGGCTGCGGAGCAGAGCCAGCCCGGGGGTGAAGGCAGCTCGGCCCGCAGGGGAGGTTGAGTGTGGAGGGATGGATGGGGCTCCTTAAACCTGTGCCTCCTCAAAACAGATGAGCTTGAAGCCCTGGAGGGCAGGGCCAGCATCACAGGCTGGCTAATCACTCTGCTGTCACCTTCAAAAAATTCTTAAATTTTTAAAAATCCTCATCCAAGGATATGTGGTAGAGAGGGAGAGAAACATTAATGTGAGAGAAACATCGATTGTCTCCCATTTGCACCCTGACTAGGGAATGAATCCCAAACCTAGCCGTGTACCCTGACTGGGAACTGACCCTGCTAGGTATTATGGGAGGATGCTCCAAACTATTGAGCCACCGGCCAGGGCAAAAAAATCTTAATATTTAAACAAGGGGCCTCTGCCCTGGCTGGTTTGGCTCAGCGGTTAGTGTGTCGGCTCGCGGACCAGAGAGACCCGAGTTCAGTTCCCGCTAAGGGCATGTACCTCGGTTGCAGTTTGTCCCCGGCCCTGGTTGGGGCTGTGCGGGTGACAGCCAGTTGGTGTCTCTCTCTCTCGTTGGTTTCTCTCTCTCCTGCTCACCCTATCTGAAGATAAGTGCAAAAATGTCTTCAGGTGAGGATAAAAATAAACAAATAAAGAGCCTCACCTTTGCATCTTGCACTGAGCCCCACAACGTATATGGCCTGTCAGAGGGTGAGTGTGGTGGAAGGTAAATGCCTTCCCCCCGGCCCCATCACCTCTCCCCCTAGATCACCCTTCCTGATATAGACCCTCTCTCTCAGGACCCCCCTAGGGCTCTACATTAGGGTGCAAGCCAGCTCCTCAGCACAGCCTGGACCCTGCCCACCCCTGCAGCCTCCCCCCACCCCACTCCAGAGGGACTGGCCCTCTCCCCTGTGTTCTCCAGGGCGCTCCTGACAGCCCTCCCAGGTCTGGCCCCAGTCCCATAAAGAAGGATCTGCCCTGCTTAGCTCTGGGCCTGGGCCCACCTCTTCCCAACTGAGCACCCTCGCCTGCTCTCTGGGGTACCTGCGGGCTGCACCCAGGCCTATGGGAGGAAGAGCACAGAAACTCTGGACAGAACTGGCTGAGGGAAGCCCAGGGGGTGCACAAAGATGCAAAAAGAACTGTTCCATCTTTATTAGAAAAGAAACCAAAAAAGGGAGTGGGGTAAGCCTGACCATAAATGACCCTCCACTGCGACACAGGCAGAACCTAGCTGGTCTGGCTGGCCTGGGAGCCGAGCTGGGGAAACGGCCCCTAGGCTGCGCTCAGGCACATTTACAAAGTCAGCATTTCATAGAAAAGGATGCGGCCTGTGCAAACTCCGACCCATCATCCATCCATTCTCACATGTTTAAGCTTGGCCTCCTCTAGGCCCCACTCGGTGTAAACAGCCCCCCAACCCAGGCAGGCAGGGAGGATGCCACGTAGGAGGGAGGCTGGGTAGCTGGCGGTTTTATGGGTCCCAGGGCATGGTTGAGGTCTCTGGCCCCTCAGATGTCCATGTAGTCATCGTCCTCATCCGTGTCACTCTCCAGCGAGGATTCCTGGCTTGATGTCTCCAGGATCTCCAGGGCCGGCTGGCACAGGCTCTCCTTTCGCACGTTGGCAGCCGACTGGGCAGATAGGATGGCTGACTGCAGACCGGGCAGGGCACTGGTCAGGGTGGCCTGGCCCAGTCCCAGGCCCCCTGTAGCCCAAGCCCCCACCCATGCCCCCTGCCCAGCACCCTCGGTCACCTTCAGCTTCTGCTTGGTCTCCTCAGAGATGCTGCCTTTGGGCGAGAGCAGGGTCGGGGTGGGTGGTGTGACGGTGATCTCAGGGGGGAACTTGGTGGCGGCTGAGGGGATGACCAACTTTGGCATGTTGGGCAGAAGGCGAGATTTGGCCCGGCTGGGTTC